TCCACTCTTTGTACTGTTCATCTATTGTAATACCTGGTGCACTGAACAAGTTGTTTTTAGTTCACAAAGAGTGGTTTTGCGTTTGTTGAGAAGCAGCCAAAAGGTATTTTTTTGGTGTTTGGTTTTTAGATTTTGCATATAATGGGCATTCCTCTTTATTATGCCTATACATACCAAATTTAAAGCATATGATTTGCAACCCTTCATACTCCACATTGTACACTGTCTTCTTTATTAGGGATCTTGATTGGAATCACTTAATTAGATCAACTTCTACATTGACTCCAACATATTTCCCTCTTCCCATAGCCATAATGTTGTTGTCACAATGAGCCATGGTATTAAGGTCTACCTTTGGAGCCTTCCCTATCAAATTTCCTAATTCCAGCATGCAATCCTTAGATTAACAATGCATCGATAAAGTAAGAACTCTAACTCGAATTGCTAGTAACAATACGGATTAAAATTGGGACTCTACCTTTGGCAGATTGGGACTCCTCCTTTGCAGTACCAGATAGTGTCCTTAAATGATCCAGGGCCATCAAAAAGTAGTTTTGTCCTTAGATTTTTGTTATCAGTCCTGAAGATATAATAGTTGTTAGGTAAATCAATAAGCTCGATGCCATCCGCCTTCAATAGCCCTCAAACTCTATCTCGCATCATCTTCAAATTCATCATTTTTCTGATGAAGGCAATTATTAAAGCATCCTTCCATGGTTTATATAGTTTCTTCAACCTCTCATCAGACATATTAAGCTTCATTAATGTCTCAAGCAACTTCTTTTACTCCTCTGATTGGGATGGGGCTACCTTTTCCTCGACTTTTAACCATTCCTTCATTTGTTCTTCAAAGCCTATATCATAATGTCTCATCCTTACCTACTAGCTTCGCCTTATAAGAAATCTGGCCCTTGGTTGGCATTTTTGTTTATTTTTAGGTTTGGTATACCCATCAACTTGTCCTGTTCCCATTCCACTTTCATTTTTGGTTCTTCTATCGCTTCTGATAGTTTTCTTCCTTGGTGACTTCTTTCATCTCCACGTCCCCTGGCATTCTTTTAATCCTTTTGCCAATGAGATCTTCATCCTCCTTAGACATGTATGTTTCAATTCCATTATTCGTTCCTGGTGTGAACGACAATCCCTTGTGCACACCCTCTTTCTCACTCGCTCTCTTTTCCATCTCAAGGTCCATGTAGTTTTAAAGCTCTCTGTTGATTTCTGTTATGGGCTTCGTAGCTACTCCTCCGATCTTAAATATAAGACCCATTTTATTATTTAGAACCGGAGGAATACATACCTTGGTATATTAGTTGTCAAAACTTTTTTTATGTATCATTTTATTTAATTATTAATAAAATTGTCTTTTATAAAAGAAAAAAAAAATCAATAATCAATGCTATGAAAAAACTGAAAACCAATACCTAATTCATACAGAATCAAATAGGATTTAGACTAACAAAAAACTGGTCATTCACCTTAAAACTAGTGAATCAAACAAGTAAACAAACCTGGATGACCAAATAAAAGGTATCAGAATATATTAAAACTTTCAATCTTAGATGTACTAGACATGTGTCAATTAAAACGAGTTTATTCATGTGTATGCTAATCTTTGCTATTTCAATAAGAAGAACAAACTATTCAATGTTGTCCAAAATTTGTTTTCCACTCTCTTTTCCCCATGTATTTAGAACTCTTGAGTATTTTTTCAAATGCACCCAATATTCTAAAAATATGTTTCATTCAGCACCATGAAATTTTTTTTCCAATATTTTCAGTACTCATCTTTCATAATTTTAGTACTTCTTAATACTTTTAATAATTAGTTTTGCAATTTTTCCAGTAGTCATTTTAAATATTTTTTATATTTATCTTTTATATTTTCAACCCTAGTCCTTAATTATTTTCATTACTAAAAACCTGGAAAATAAAGTACCTTCACTTAATAGACGTTTTCCTTACAAGTGTCTTGCTTGACGAGAAGGAAATACTAGGTTGCATGTTCAAGCTGGATTAGCTGCGTATGATGATGCTTGAAGGCTACAGCTTTTTGCACTCTTTGGAATGAGCCCCAAAGTTTACTGTATTTTGGGTTTGCTTGTATTTTCTCTTTTGTTGTTTCTTTCTTTTTGCACTGGGGCTCCACAAATGGGTTGTAGTATAGAATTGTTTGATAAGCCTTTTATAATGTATCATTTTATCTGTTTGGATAATATAATTTGACTTTTTATAAAAAAAAAAAAGGAAAAATGACAATAAAATGGTGCATCAATTTTGAAAACCCTAAATAGTTACACAAGTTGAAAAATTCTCAATTTATTAGATCCATGCAAATCTTTTAGAATCAAAATACTTGCTAGATCACACAGTGAACGACATTATTAGAGTTGTTAATCTCATTACAAGAGCCGTGAACTGTGCTGTTAAAGTTGAAAAAGAATCTGACTTTCACAATTTCCTGAAAAAGTAGGTTGCTAATTATGTTACCAAACTTATTAATACCTTTATTGAAGTTCTCAATTTATTAGGTATTTAAAAATCCTTTAAAATCAAATTACTGTGTTAGTAGAGTTGTTAACCATATTATTAGAATTGGACATGACTTGTTGTATGCAAGTTACGACAGAATTTGCTTTAAAAGTAAACATGAGTGGTATAATTAAATGAACATATCACTATTTGGCTTTCACTTACATATCACAAGTTTTGAAGAAATTAATGAGTGTATAAAAAATTAGCAATTTTTCAACTTTTGTAACATGGTTGAGGAGTTATGTGATGGTATTGATAAGTTTGGTAACAAAATTAACACGTTTTTAGAAAATTAAGTGAGATTTTTTTCAACTTCTTCAATAACACGGTTAACAGCTCTTGTAATGATATTAACAATTTTAATAACATTATTGATCATGTGATTTGAGAAGTTTTTGACTTTGAAAGATTTCTAAGTACCTAATAAATTAAAATTTTTTTAATTTTTGTAATGTGATTAACAAGTCATATAATGGTATTAAAAAGTTTGAGTTTAGTAACAAAATTAACGTTTCAAAATAGAGAAAATTAGGGAGAGGGGCCCAAAAAAATAAATTTTATTAAAAAAGACCTTAAAATCTAATTATTTTAAAGGACTAAAATTTAAAATATAAATTTACAATTACAAATAATCTAACTCCCTATATTCTTTCTAATCCCATCTAAACTTCTTAGCATTTAATCACGGATTAAAAGGTCCATTCGTCTTTTCCTCTATCAGTATCGCTTTCTTTGTAGGTAGAGCTTCCATCTGTAGCAGCTAGCTTCATGTGAATTTGTAATGAAGGCAAATTAAAAGGATTCAACAATTGGCGACAGCTGTTCATTATATTCAGATCATGTTTGTTCTCCCTTTGATTTGTACGGTTTGTTTTTCCCTTCCTTTTCTTTCTTTGCATAACACTGTCCATTTTCTTGTATGGATATTAAAAACTTTGAATTACTTGGCATGGGAATATTGTGAGAGCTCTTCGATTATGGCGTGATAATTTGAATTCGTGAATGTTTCAATCTCAAGTGGGCCCAACATTGTCGTCTCTCTTTCAAAGCAATGTCAGACCACTTTGCTTAAGCCTCTTTGATTTTTTCCCCCCAAGTATGGGTATTTTTTTATTAGAGGTAATCTTATTCAAGATACTATTGAGGATTAAATATGAGCATTTCTCTTAGTAAAGAATCAAATCTTAATTTTCTACACTATGAGGGACTAACTTCTCTAGTTTTCTTCTCACTATGCATAGTAAATAAACACTACTAGAAAAATCCTTTAAAAACTACTAGGAAAAAAAAATCGTTTAGATTGGTTAGAATAAACCTTTTACACCGGAGTGATGACTGATGTAATTTCCATTCTTTTAATACTTTTAGTATGCAATTAGAAGCGCTACAGTTCAAGTGAATCATAAATTAAGCCCACAGACTAAAATCTTACATTTTGATTCTGAGATTACTATTCATTTGGTAATTCTAGTTTTATGGTCTAACTATAAAAATTCATAATTAAATATAGAAAAATCATATGAAGGTATTTAACTCTTCATTGAAGTCTATTTTGATTCATTCACTTACTCATTTGTTCTAGAAAAATGCACAAACTTGTATTATTCATTTGGTAAAACTGTACTATTTAGATTTCTTACCTTAAATTTTGAAATCCATAACTTTTAACACATATATCCTCTTGAAGTGATCTACTACATTTAAAGATTAGGATGTTTACTACATGCTTATGAAATTTTATGGGCAAATTCAATCATTTGTCTTATCAAAGTGCCGCCACAATTTCACAGCTCCAGAAGTACCTTTTTAATCCTCAACTAATCAAATATTTAAACTATGTTGATTAGGAAAGCATGCAAATCCATGCTCATGCCTTCTTACACACAATTATACATGCCAATGGCAGCATTATACATAACTACAATACATAAATGACATGTTCTTACAATCACTCCCATATAAGGAGCATTATTACATAACATAATAACACATATTTCTTTAATTCGCCTCATCAATCTTCTTACTTTACCCCATGCATTCTTCCCCATTATCATTATACATATGGTTGGGTAAGAGACAGTGATATTAAGGAGAATCTCAGTAGCAAATTTATCACTCAAGCAAACACAGGAATGCTTGGAATCATAAGATGCTTGCATATAATCTTTCATGACATAATGACATGTTTTAAACTATCATGCATCATTTTCAAAACACATAGGCTTATGATAGGGTTAATATCATTTTTGGTCCTCACACTTTAACTTTGTTTTGGTTTTAGTCCCTGAAATTTGAAGTCAATATTTTTGGTCCCTCAAATTTATCTTGTTTATAACCATTGGTCCCTGTAGTTTGAAAAGGACTTGGAGCTGGTATTAACGGTGTTAAGTTCACTAACACCTTTTAAATTGCTGATGTTGACTGCTGACTGGGCACGCTCATTTGCTGACCTGGATATGCGACTTCTATATGGAGGGAAAAAAAAGAAGAAGAAGCCAAAACACCTTAACGCTGTCGTCATCTTCTTCGCCGGGGACGGCACCATCTCCTTCAGTGTCCGTGTTAATGCCGATTTCGTCAAGCTCCTCTAGCTCCACAAGAAGATGACGTCGTTCCTTGCTCACTGAAGAGGATGATGAACAGCATCCCCTAGTCCTTTGCCACGCCTTGCGTTTAAGTTCTGATGAAGGTAGTTCCACTGTGTCTCTCTTCTCTCTCTAAAGAAGTCGACGGTGTCCACTCCAGGAGGAAGATGATGAATAGTGGGCTCTATCATGGGTGTATTGAAGATATGTACTGCTTCCTTCATGTATTTCTTTATTTTCTTGTTGCTTCCTTTTATAATTTTGGTGGTATTAACTTGGGTTTCCATGACATCAAACTATGTTTCTTCTTCCTTTTTTTTTTTGGCATTACATCAAACTATGTTTCTGGGTAATATATGTTGTGTGGGGCCACTTGTCGCAAAATTTCTGCATCAAAGGTTTCGTGATGAACACATCAACTCGAGCTGGTGCCTTCATTTACTCTTGCTGTATGTATATTTGTGCATGTGTTTTTGGGCTCTTCAGAGCAATATGCATTTTCTGATTCGAAATCAACAAATCTCCAACATGAGGTTGATTTCAAGCAAGTTGACAATGGGAGGGACTGGTAAAGAATAATAAATTATAATTAATTAAGTATCATGGAAGTTGGGTTTCATATGGACATATTGGAGGGTAGTTAAGTTTTTTTTTTTTTCATTTTTCTCTTGCAGTAGGGATAATTTCTTAATATAATCCTTTAAGCGTTAGTTGCTTGCATGATCTTCTATATGTTTCCATTTCTTAAAAACGTTCCTGTTCGGAAAATGAAAGGTTTATTATTTTTTTTTTTTATGGCTCTCTATCTGGGAATCTTAGAGCTTCTCCCTAACCCCAACATCCTTTGTCCTGTCAGCGTCTCTTGTTTAGGATGATGAACAGTAGCTGCCTCCAGCTCACCCACTCCTCCTCACCAAGACAATGAACAGTAACCGAAGAGAAGCACCCAATTGGTCGGAATCCACTTATCGATTTCTCAAATTGTGTTAAAGCTGGCAATTACTTCACTGTTCTTCTGCTTCAACCTTCATCGTCCAGAGCAGTGACGGCCTGTAGAGAGGAGAACAACCACCGTCTTCTTCAGTCTAGCTACCACGGTGTTTTGGCTTTAATTTTTTGTTTTAATAAAAAAATCACATATCCAAGTCATCCTTGCCCAGTCAACAGTTGACACCATCAATTTAAACAATGTTAGTGACACATAGGCAAACTTAACACTGTTAATATCAACTCCAACTCCTTTTCAAACTACAAGGACCAACGGTTATAAACAGAATAAATTTTAGGGACCAAAAGCATTAACTTCAAATTTCAGGGACTAAAACCAAAATAAAGGCAAAGTGTAAAGACTAATAATGATATTAACTCGCTTATGATATATCTCAAAATATAATCACATGATTAATGCATGATTTCATATAAACACAAAATATATCAAATATATCATTTCATGCAAGCAACAAGCAAACATATAAGAGTAAGGTAAAATTTGCTACCTTTTGTCTTTATAATATTTCTCTTACTCGCTTTTCTTCTAATATCCAAGATTCTTGAACAACCTTATAAATCCCTTTTTCTGACACATCATGGCCTTAAATACATATACACATTATTCAGTACTCTTGTTAGAACCATGAAAGTAAGTGACCATTATAACTTGACCTCTTGATCTTGAGCTCAACACATTAAACTCAAATTTTTGGTTTGTTAATCCAATCTTTCTAAAATCATTTCTATATACCATTCCTATATAACTTTGCATGTAAAATCCATTTTTAAACTCATTCAACAAAATCCAACCCTTCCCCTCAAACTAGGTTTAGTTGAAACATTAGGATTTTTAGGACAAAAATTTCATTTTTAATTTTAATGCTTCCAATCACTTTCCTTTAGTATAACTCTACACAATTTTATTTGGAAGCATCAAATTGGCATTCATGAAACCCTCTTGGCCGAAACATGCACGACAAAAAGGAAAGTTGGATTCATTCCATTTTTATCACAAAATCACTTAATTACTAGTCTTTTCTACCTCTTAATCATTAAACCAACTTCAAATCATTCTTAACATGCTTTATGTAAATTTGACCAGCACCAAGACTCAGGGTTTCTTACTTCTATAACTTATCAAATACCATAAACAAGCTCAACAACATCAATAGCATCAACTAATTTCACTGCTTGGTGATCCTTTTGTCCCTTTCCTTCTTCCTCTCCTTCCTTTGCTCTTGAAAATTTTGGCCTCTCTTTTTTCCTTCTCATTTGGCTGAAAATTCCTCATCAAATGGAAGGGAGAGATATTTATACTTAGAAACATTATATTGTATTGAAATATAATTTCAAATCCACCTCTTTTGTAAAATTACCATTTAATCCCTTAGTCTTTACCTTTAACCTTGCATGAAGTTACGAGTATGAGGTGTCATTCTTATGGACTCCACACATGACATTTAACTCCATTAGAATCTCATTTGAAATCCACTTTTAGAAACTTATTATTTTTATTCTCTTGTTTTATCACATAGCCTGGAGAAATTATCCACTATGCGTAACCTATGGATCACAGCATTAGAAGAGAACATGCATCAGGGCCTACATCGTAGTTTTAGACTCAAACTCCAACAACCCCCCCCCCCCCAAAAAAAATCCGTCTTTATTCTTTTCGATGGGGAGGGGAATCAAAAGACTGAAACAACAGAATTACAGAAAAGGAGAAAGTGATACAACTTAAACATTGGAGAAAAACACAATCATCCAGTGAAGATGTAATCTACAGATCCATTTGCAAACACACACTAGACTTTGATCCGTTTGCAAACAAACACCGTCTGGTTGGAAACCTAGATAATAGAGCCCTGTATTATAGCTAGCTGGAGAGCTGACCCCTCTTTGTTCTTCTGTATACTCCCATTGACGAATTTTCTAAGGGAAAATGACAATAAAATACCACTTGAATTCTAAAAGGACAAATAAGGGACCTGAATAAGCAAAATGACAAATAAGGCACTGGGTACCAATCTGGAATTCATATTTTCGGCCAAAAGACCAAAACGCCCTGATGAATGCGGGAAGACTGAAAGCTGAAAGTGAGAGAAAGGAGAGAGGAAGACCGACGCAGTGAGAGAAAGGAGAGAGGAAGACCGACGCTGATGAAATGCGGGAAGAAGGAAAGAAGAATGTTGGAAATGCTATTATCTTACTCCTTCGCATCACCATTCTGTAGAGATTGTTGATTTTGGTTGTGGGAAAGAGGATTTGTAGTGAGAGAGGGAGTGAACCGAAGCGGAAATCAGCAAGCAATTACGTAACGTAACTGCTGTGATATGCTTGCTGGTTTTTGGTAAATCCCATTACGTGAATGGTAAATTTCACTATACATGTAGTTAATTATGAATTTTACAAAATACATATTGTGATTTATAACTTTTGTAGTGAAAGTGACTACTTTGTTAATGGGTTTTGCAACCTGTTTTCAGGAGATAAACAACTTGTTTGTAAAAACTAATAAAAGTGACAACTTTTGTAGTCACGTTGAATTAACTGGTTGCAAAAGCCATTTAAGAAGTGGTCATTTTCACTATAAAAGTTGTAAATATCACTGTGTATTTTGTAAAATTCAGCGTCAAATTTTATTGATTTTTAGAAACAAGTTGCTCATCCCCTGAAAAGAGGTTGCAAAACTCATTTAAGAAGTGGTCATTTTCACTATAAAAGTTGTAAATATCACTGTGTGTTTTGTAAAATTCAGCATCAAATTTTATTGATTTTTAGAAACAAGTTGCTCATCTCCTGAAAAGAGGTTGCAAAACTCATTTAAGAAGTGGTAATTTTCACTACAAAAGTTGTAAATATCACTGTGTGTTTTGTAAAATTCAGCATGGAATTTTATTGGTTTTTAGAAACAAGTTGCTCATCCCCTGAAAAGAGGTTGCAAAACTCATTTAAGAAGTGGTAATTTTCACTACAAAAGTTGTAAATATCACTCTATGTTTTGTAAAATTCAGCATGGAATTTTATTGGTTTTTAGAAACAAGTTGCCAATTCCTTGAAAAGAGGTTGCAAAACTCATTTAAGAAGTGGTAATTTTCACTACGAAAGTTGTAAATCTCACTATGTGTTTTGTCAAATTTAGTAGGAAATTTTATTAGTTTTTAGAAACAAGCTGCCCATCCCTGAAAACAAGTTACAAAACCCATTGAATAAGTGGTCATTTTTACTACGGAAGTTGTAAATCCCACTATACGTTTTGTCAAATTTAGCGTGAAATTTTATTAGTTTTTACAAACAAGTTGTTTATCTCCTGAAAACAGGTTGCAAAACCCATTAACAAAGTAGTCACTTTCACTACAAAAGTTATAAATCACAATATGTATTTTGTAAAATTCATAATTAACTACATGTATAGTGAAATTTACCATTCACGTAATGGGATTTACCAAAAACCAGCAAGCATATCACAGCAGTTACGTTACGTAATTGCTTGCTGATTTCCGCTTCGGTTCACTCCCTCTCTCACTACAAATCCTCTTTCCCACAACCAAAATCAACAATCTCTACAGAATGGTGATGCGAAGGAGTAAGATAATAGCATTTCCAACATTCTTCTTTCCTTCTTCCCGCATTTCATCAGCGTCGGTCTTCCTCTCTCCTTTCTCTCACTTTCAGCTTTCGGTCTTCCCGCATTCATCAGGGCGTTTTGGTCTTTTGGCCGAAAATATTAATTCCAGATTGGTTCCCAGTGACCTCCTTGTCATTTTGCTTATTCAGGTCCCTTATTTGTCCTTTTAGAATTCAAGTGGTATTTTATTGTCATTTTCCCATTTTCTAATCCAAATCCACAATTTCAAATAATTGCATTTGTCATTGGGGACGTAGATGCCTTCTTCCGCTAACTCTGTGGTCACAATTTCTTTCAAAATTTCACAGTTGAGGCCTGACTATTTTGTCTAGAATCTCAAAGCAAAACGCCTTTAATCTCAAATTTCCATTACATGATCTTTTTTTTTTTTTTTTTGGGAGGGGGCAGATGGTAGAGCATGCTCCCAATTTCGCTATAGTATACAGGAATCTATCATCTGGATTTCATATTACACGGTAAAGTTCAAAAGATGAGTTGAACTACGGGGGTAGTTGTGACCTTTTCCCAAAATAATGGAATTTATACCTGAAAATTGATCGTTCTTTTCTGTAAATCAGGAGGAAGCAATGGACGCTGAGTAAACTCATCCTCCAGATACTGCATGTCTATTAAATCCATCAACAACAAAAAAAACATGATTTAAGAGCAATGGAAGAGGTTATAGAAAGAATTTGCAGTTCCGAACTCCAAAGGAAAAGCAGATAATCACCATAATGATGGCCAAAGAGTCAGAAATTACAAAGTCCCCATCCACGAGGACGGGAACAAAACCGACAGGATTGAGCTTCAGGAAATCTGAAATGCCAAAGCAAAACAGTAAGACAACAAAGCAAATTAAACTACACTAAACCCACCCACCCACTAATCTGTCAACTCCCTGAACTCACAAATGATTATACTAACATCACTCTTTTTTGTGTTTGTTGCAATTTTTACCATTATCAAGGACCAAATTGGAGCAATGAAACAGAAGGAAAAAAACCAGGGTGAGAGTGTTCTCCCTTCAGCAAGTTGACTGCTTTGTACTCATATTTAATCCCTGAAATCAAGGCACACTAAACTGATAAAGTATTCGAGCAAGTAGGATTTCATCCACACAAAACATTTACTTGATGAATTCAACTAAAGTAGGGACAGCAACAGTCTTGTGTTTGTCTGTATTGAGTACCTTTCAGGTTGAGAGCAATTCGGACTCGAAAGGCGCATGAGCTCCACCAGTACGAATACAGCTTTAGCTTATTATCACCACTTTCAGTTGCCTAATGACACAACAGAAATAAAAAAAAAATCAGCACTCTCCATATTTTTCTCAAGCAGGATTTGACAGTGAGGGATTGTTAATATGGGTTAACAGAGGATACCATAGTGATCAGTGAAGTGAAACGCCAAGACAGGAGGATATATGATTATCCGATTAGGCCGAATCTATAGTTTGCCAACTGCACGGGGAAGAAATCAATGCCAACCAATATGTTTGCGGTGAGGTCAAGCTTGCGAGTCATCTTCTTCTCTGTAATGATAATTTAAAAAAAAAAAAGACTGAAAGCGAATTAAATCCACCAATTATGGGTGCATTCTTCTTTGTGATTAAACAAAGCATAAGGAACGTAGAGAAGTGACTCACGACAGGAGTCTGAGGTACCCAGAGGAGGGAGAACCCGGAGAGGTGTGGCAGCTGTACCGGCCTAGTTTCCTTCATGCGGGCCCATTTGACATTATTGACTTTTTGTTTCCTTAAAGGGTATGAGTTTTTGATATTTTAAATTTATCTTCATTTTGATTTTAATCTCTTAATTTTTAAATAATAGGTTTTAATTTCTCAAAGAGCCAAATATTTTGGCTTTTTATTATATTATAAGGATCAATGTCTTAAATGAAAAGAACGATTAATGAAGGTAAAAATAAAAAAAATAATATTAAAAATTTCAGCATATTATAAATATATTTTTGGTACATATTATTAGGATTTCTTTGTAAATAGGAATATGACATATTTTTTAAAAAAGATTCATATAAGATTAAAGAGATTAATGATGATAGAGATATAACATATCTTCAATTAATTTTGAGGCATAAAAGAAAAAGATTATTAGCAGCCAACCATTTTTTATATATATAATTGAAATGTATTGTTTTTGTGAGATTTTACTATGAAAGATTATTTTATTTTTCCAAACTGAACAGATTAGTTATATAATGATGAACTAATATATATAAATTCAGGCCGAAAAAAATAAAAAATAAATAAGTGAAAAAAGGGAAGGGGAAAAAAGGGGGGGGCGCGGAAGAAGCGACCAACGGCTGTATTTGTGTGTGGGTATTGTTCGCTGGGAGTCTGGGACGTGGCTTCATGGAAAACTGGTCTCAAAAATAGCACAGTGACGGAGGAGAAGGAAAAGCTCTCTTTAACTGAGGCGATACCAGAAACGACGTCGAAGAGGAAGGAAGAATGGCGAGTGGTCGTCCATGGCGGTGGTGCGAGTTGGAGCTTCCACTGGGGCATATCAGGAGAAGCATTTCAATTGGGGAAAGCTGTGTGCAGCCGTGGCCTCTTTGTGATGGCTCCTAACTGTTGGGACCCTCTTTCTGACACTCTCACGCGCCCTCTCCGTCTACCTCTCTCCGGTGATCGCTCCTCCCCTTCTTCATCTCTGTTTGGATCCGTCATCGTCACCATTGCTCAGCCGTCGCACCGTCCCAGCTCACTCTTCGAGTTCATGCCACCAGCTCCATCTCTCCTCAACAACAACACGCATTACTGGTATCACCACTGATCAATGCTCTTGAACATTACTTGGGAAAAACGCACCCAAATATTGCGAATATTGTTCTGTTCAGAAATCCTTTGGTCGCTCTTTCTATTTGAACGGGAAAAAATTAATTTCAATTCGACTTGGGTTTATGGTTACGAGGGAGCGTCAATTATTTTATTCATAGCAACAACAAAAATATCATCATCAATTTCCCTGATGTGGCCAGGCTCAGGTGTCAAGAATGCTTCGTCTGTCAGAGACCGAAGAGAAAGCTGTGAGGAAGTTCAGAAGCATATCCATGCATGGCGATGATGATCACAACAAAAGCTTTAACGGAAGAGTCTTTAGGTCTCCCACATTGTTTGAGGATATGGTCAAGTGCATCCTCCTCTGCAACTGCCAGTGAGTCTATTACTGTCTTTCATGATCTGTCTACTGACTCTAACTTGGTGGCTGGCACACCATATGATTGACATGATGCCGAAATGAAGATATGAAAACTTATTCCTCAATTCATTTTATTTCTTGCTTCTGGGATTTCTTATTTCCTCCCTTTTTTCTTATCAACGAAACACAGATTTCCTTAATAGTTTTTAACTCTAAAGTGATTTCTGAGACGAGATTAAAGGCAGTGATCCAAGATGTGAGAGTGTGTACGGAAGTTGCCTCTTATCTTCTCTATCTTCCTTCCTTGATAGACATTTTACAAACTTCTAATTTCAGAGGATTTCAATCTAAGAAAGTCACTGGCCATCTTTTTATGAAACTTGTAAATAATGGAATAGAAGCTCTGCCGCTTCACCTTCTCCTCCAATAACGATTACTTGACTCCACTCTGTTCAGAAATCCCAAACTAACAAACAGAAAAATTCAGGTGGTCGAGGACTTTGTGCATGGCTCAGGCACTTTGTGAGCTTCAGCCGGAACTGGACAATGTGTCCTCCTTCCCATCGGTTGTTGAAGGGGGAGCCACAGTCTCCAACAGTTGAGAATGAAAACTACATTCCAAAGACACCAGCGACAAAAGAAACCAAGAAAAAACATAGGACCTCTGGCTTTTCCTCTAAAAGCAAGTTTCTTAAGAAGAAACTGAAGTTCGAAGGAGATGGAAATTCGCGGGAAGACAATGTCCCTGCAACAAGTTTGAACTCAAGCTTGCCTCCAACTGATACTGATGAAAATCCAAGTCAGCTTTGCAAATCTCGTCAAAATTCAACGGCGTTAAGCACAGATGACGAATCATTTCTTGGGTTCTCTGATGGAAGAGGCTATTTTGCTAACGGGCCCGTATTGGGAATTTTCCATCCCCAGAAGAGCTAGCAAACCTTGATGATGAGAGTTTTATGGCGAAGCGATGCAAACGTGGTTATAGGGCAGATCGGATATTAAAACTTGCTCGAGCCATTGTTGAAGGTAGATTTCAAATAGGACTACTTGAAGAACTTTCTAAAGATGCAAGCTTATTGAGCTATAACCAACTAACGGACCACTTGAAAGAAATCGAGGGATTTGGCCCTTTTACTCGTGCCAATGTTCTGATGTGCATGGGTTACTACCATGTTATTCCAACCGATTCTGAAACGATTAGGCATTTGAAACAGGTTTAGTTTCAAACATTTCCTGTTTTCTTTGTCAATTTGTCAAATACTCTTGATATTTATGCATGATATGTATTAATGCAGGTTCATTCAAGAAAATCCACAACCCAAACAGTTCAGAGAGATGTTGAAGAAATTTATGGAAAGTACGAGCCGTACCAATTCCTGGCATACTGGTAAGTAACAAGAAGGAAAGCAAAAACTAAAATACGGAAACTGAAAACTTATATGGTACTGGGGGAACAAAAAATGAATTTAAGCTGGTAGTCTCTCGTGTTTCTATAATGGACCTTTCCATGCAAGTTAATTTCCTAACGTGGTTCTCCTGCGGCCAGGTCTGAACTATGGGACTTCTACGAAAGAAGATTTGGGAAAATGAATGAATTGTCTTGCTCTGACTATAAACCCATAACTACTAGTAACATGAAAAGCGAAGGCAGAGGCAGAAAGAAGAGGAAGCAAGCAACTTAGTATGTCAAGGCCTAGCAACAATGAGCCTTTCGATCCAAATCTACCCTCCATGCTTATTTGCTTGTTGCCCCTAAGCCTAACCCCCCCGGGGGGGGGGATATTTGGGCATAATTTAGAACTAATATATTGTTCAATGTTGTTTATAACTCTTAAATTATTAGTTAAATCGGTGCTCATGGATGTGTTAAGACTTGAAATCTATACTATCTAAACATAGTTTCAATCATTCAGATTCAAGGGCAAAAAAAAAATCATTCAGATTTAAAAGTTTCAATTGATAATTTTTAAATAAAAAATTATTTTAAAGGTTAAGATATTATTTTTATTTTATATTCTATGCATATTAAAATAATATCTTCAACAAATAAAGGTAAAAAAAAAAGAACCATTCAAATTAAATCAAAAATACAAATTAACCATGCAACACAAACCATCAAAGTCTCAATTATTGAATCAAATATGGAATTAGGTTTAAAATGTTTCATATTGGCATATGGAAAGAAGTGATAAAAACTCCGTTAATAAGACAACTAATCACGCCGTAAACTTTATTACAGTGAAACTTGTACTGCCAGCTGTTTACACATATCTTATATAATGAAATCCTATCCTCTTAATTATAGTTAATTAGTCTCTTGAATTTTAGTATACAGTTGTGTGTGAGAATAAACTAAATTTAAAAATTCTTCCCGTTTAAGACATCGACCTCCCTGCGCATGATTTGGATTTATTTTTATCTTTCTTTACCACTTTACATGTATCTAGATTTATTTTTATTTTTTCTAACAAAAAAAGATTTATTTTTATTTTAGATTTTAGATTTAGCAAGGGAAAAAAATGGACCAGACCGGCTAGTTCAATCAGAAAAGTAGTGAACCGGTCCACAATCCGATCTGGTTTAAGAAGAAAACTGGTCACCTATAGAACCGGTAAGTAACCGGTCAAACTAGTATTAAACTGGTCAACTTCCCGGTTTGGGGGTTGACTGGTTTAATATTTTTTCCTACTCACTACCCAAAACGACGTCGTCCTATATTTAAAGGAAAAAAATTGAACGTTGTCATTCAATTCCCTCGATCCCTTCCTCCTGGCCAGATTCCCCCATTCCCAACTTTGTTCAGTTTAAGTATTCGACCATTCTCCTTGGCCCAGATCCCTTGTAGTGCTGTTGAGTTGCCGTGGAGACTGGAGACTGGAGACAGCAGTGCGATGGTCGACTCATGGTGGAGACAGAGACATGGTGGTTGACCAAGATTCATTCCCTTTTCATTGAGTTCATTGTAGCTGACCGTTCCCCTTCAGATCCCTTGCAGCGCCGTCGAGTTGCTGGGGAGAGTAGACACAACAACACGATGGTTGACTTGTGGTGGAGACGGAGGCATAGTGGTTGACCAAGATTCCCATTCCCTTTTCATTGAGTTCATTATAGTCAACCGTTCTCCCTACCCCAAATCCCTTGCAACACCGTCGAGTTGCCATGTAGAGTGGGTGTGGTGATCAACTTGTAGTGTGTAATATCCTAAATTAATTTTTAGGATTTATGTGAAAATATATATAATAATATTTTATAAAAAAATTCAAAAAAAATTATTATAATAAAATAATAATATTTTAATATATATTATTAAAAAAAAGGGATCACAGTTTTCCACCGAATTCGGTGGAAAGCTGAAGCATTGAAAAGGGAAGGAAGAAAATAAGGGAGAGGAATTTAATGAGGGAAGAAAAAATGAAAGGTCGTTGGGGAAATGAAAAATAAAAGAAAGAGAGGTAAGCTGAAAATGTGAGTGCGCACTACGCAAGAGAGAAAGAAGAAAAGAGAGTTTAGTGTGTGTGTAAGAGCGAAAGGAGCATACCGGTAAAGGAAAGAATGAGTTTTGAAGATATTTTAGATACATAAAATTATTTCTTTTTATCAATCTTTCTTTATGAATATTTCCTATATATTTTAAGCTTCCTATTTACATTATTACTATAGTGATTAGAAAAAATTTTGAGACTTATATATGATATAAGTATTGAGTTTTGATAAAAGATGACTATAGAAATTTAGAAGCAAATGAGTTGTTAATTTTAATCGGTTTAGATTTCTCTATTTGTTGGTTTTTAGTATTTAAATTAGTTTTTCTAGTTGAAAAATCTGTTATATATTATTTATATTATATTTTTACCGATTAAATTCAAGTTAAGTAATTTATTTGGGTTGTTTGGCATATTATTGAGATTTTAATCGGTTTGGATCTGTCCATTTATTGGTTTTTAGTGCTTAAATGAGATTTTAGAATTTAGGCCATAATAATTTTATATTTAGAAATTGTGAAAAATTCTTTTTAGTAAAGTAAATAATTCGGAGGTTGTAAATAAATAATTTGGGTTGTTAGAAATTTTAAGTTATTTCTAAAATACTTAATAATTTTTGGGTTATGAGAGTTGCAGGAATTTAGAGTAAAAATTTAATTAAATTAGAAATTTAAATAATATAGAGAAGTTTAATTAATTAATTAATTAGTTTATATTAATATGTGGTTATATTAATTGTATAGATTAATTATTGGTTGAGCAAAGGATTGACCTTGTGGTAATCCTTAGTATTACTTTGACGAGAGGTAACCACTTTCCACTTGTTATATGTGCTAATATGTTATTTGTGAGTATTTTCCTATTTTTGAATAATATTTGTTATTTGGAATTTGAGTATATATATTTTAAGCTATGAAAATTGTCTTGTGGGATATTTTAGAATTGTGATTGAGAAATTTGGAAAAGATATATGATTTATATCTTATGGATTATACTGGGAAAAGATTGAGACATTTTTGTTATATTGTGAATGGTTGGTTGTTGTTTGGATTTTGGATTGAGCTCTATCCTACCACGTGGTAAGGCCGCTATTGGTGCACATTGGTTGGCTTCTTCGTTCATCCCTAGAGTAAGGGATAGACTCTTGTGGCTTTTTATTCGTCTCCCAAAGTGTGAGATAGGCCTATAATAAGGGATGGACCTTTGTGACTACTTATTCATCCCCCAAAGTGTGGGATAGGCCTATAGGTCGGTTTGATCCCCTATAGTGAGGGATAGACTTATGTGGCTTGTGTGTTAGCCGTTGTAATGAGGGTTTGAATGATTGAGATTATTTGAATATACATATTTGTGTTTTCATTGATATATAGATATTAAGATTTAATAATTATCCCACTTGACACCTTACGAGCACATGTTAGTATGTATGATGAGTTGGAAAGTTGGTTACTGAGACGTTTGTCTCACCCCATGGTTTTTACTATCTTCAGGTGATAGTTCAGGTGGTGGCTCATCAGGGAAGGCTCCGGAGGCATAGTGTGTTGTTATAGCTTATATAGCCTCCCTACTTTTGTTTTATGTGTTGACTTGTTATATATTGCCACATAGGGCCCATATACTCTAATGCTGTAAACTAATACTTTTAATTACTATTATCCGATATGGGAGGTCATTTGAAGGCCAGAGATATTTAAGACTTTGCGTATTATGCTTATTTGATAGTATTGACTTTTGACTAATGGGTTCCATGACTTATATTAAAATGTTTTATTAGTTCGTGTGTTTGAAAGTATAAGTTTGGTTTGGGCTAACGATTGAATGATATTCCTAGACTTTGGAAGTCCAAGGCCCAAGGTAACGATCGATGTTACTCTTATTATAAGTTTATTTCTTTTAACTATGATAGCGATTTTAAAATTTTAAGGTTTCTTCTTTTCTATCATGGTTAATCATTCGAATCAATTGAAAATTTTGATCTAAATGGGTTTTAAAAGAGCAGTTGTCACATAGTGGAGACGGAGGTACGGTGGTTGACTTGTCGTGCATCGGGGAGAATGGAGACAAAGGAGGCACAGTGGTCGCTTCTCCAGATCCTAGTCACTGCTCACCTTGCCTAAAACTAAAAGGCATCCTTCAATCCCTAGTTCAATCAATCATATCGGCTTTGGTGCAATGGGTAAGCTCAAAAAACATTCCCTCCCCTTTCAACTAGGTTGTGATTTTAGGAATAAATTGATAAATATATCTGCTTTGATTTTTGCCTTTCTCCACTGGCTAAGAGCTTTGGGAAATGGGAAGTAAGGGGAGATGAAACTCTCTAGCTGAAGTTCAACTTCTTGAGAGTTCTACCTTTCTGCTTTACTTTCTGCCTTTCACTGGATTGCCTCTGCCTTTTTGAGTTTCTCCACTAGCCGAGAGGTTTGGTTTTGCCTTTCATTGGATTTCTTCTTTAAAACTATAACAAATAAACAATGTTAGAAGTATTAGAATGATAAATATAATTGATTGTTTTTTGTTTTCTCCACTAAAGCTCTATTACTGTGTAGCTAATAGTTAGAAGTGTTAGAAATTAAAATGATGATTGATTGATTTCTACTCTATTACTATTTATGTAATAAGTAGAAGTGTTAGAAATTGAAATGATGGTTGATTGATTTCTGAGAATGGCACACCATCAAATTCCAGCATAAATTTGTGTCTTGAATTGGTTCTTGAAACTTGTAGTTCTACTATTTGTGTTTATCTAATATCCAAGAGAAATGATTTTTGATTTGTTATTTAGTAGCAGTGATGGATATTCCAAACAATCAAAGTTCTAGAAATGAAAACGTCACTCAATCTTCCACTCCTAATGTCAAAACTTCTACTCCCACACCGACTTCTCCATTGCTACTAAAAATGATCCTGCATGGGCACATGTTGCCTACAAAATAAGACGGGACACAAACTGTATGTACGTACCTTTTTTGTGGTAATAATTATAGAGGTAGGATAACTAGGATGAAGCAACACCTTGCTAATGTCACTGGTCAAATAGCTTCATGTAAAAAAGTTTCACATGATGTACATCATAGAATGACCGAGTCTTTGAAAGAATGTTCAAAAAAAAAAGCTATTGAAA